TTTCTTAAAATGAATTGTTTTGTTTATTATTCCCCCTCTAATAGTATATTATGTATCAAGTTTGATAAACGCCATTTTATACACGAGTGTATAGAAAAGTTTATAAACGAGGTGCATATTATACTTTTTCTACGACAAATACTTATTATTATCTTAAAATAATTTAAATCAAAAATTTGTATAGAGCGCCATCTATGAAACAATAGGGGAATCTGTGTGTCACTGTCAAATGTCAATTTTTTTATTTTATAAGCACAGATTATTAAGGTTATAAATCGAAATGTATTTCTTGAAAATTGACAGTTTTTCACAGTGAAAGTAAAGAAAATGTTTTATGAGCACTTTACAGTGGAGTCCGTGCCCGAATTTAAGTTATAGTTTACTGCCGGCGAAATTAAAAGGTCAGTACAATGTTCATATAAACTTTTCAAATATTGGCGTTGAGAAACGATTTAATACTTTTGTATTTTTGTATTGAGATAATAAAATAATTTTCACATTTAGTATTATTTTACAACAAATTTAAATCTACTAATTTGACTATTTCATTCAATAGAATTTGACTGCTTTTTCGCTATGACAATTAGTCAAATATGACTTATAATTAGTTATTTTTGACTAATTCATTTTAAGAGAGTAGCTCTAAGACAAAAAATAAAATTAACCCCTATATCTAGACATATTTTGTGAGAACTGTATCATACGAATTTTGACTTTGAGTGTTAAACACACTTTACAGTATGTTAATAAGCAGGAATTGATCCTGAAAAACTTAGCGCAGAGAAACTACTCCACAGGGGATATACGCTATCTACAGATGTGGCAACGTATACGTATATACGTAGGTACGCGTGGGAACAATAATTCAAGATCAGACTTATCTTCGCCTCCATGGTGTTCGCCTGCTTATTCCTGCTGGATATGCTTTAAAATTCGACCTACAGCAAAGCTCACTTAAACTAATAACAAAGCGCGGTTTATCAGGATTTCCTTTGTCTCTACACGCATTGCGTGTACATGTCAGATATTTTTTTACGATGTACCTATTCCTGTAATAAAATCGGCAGGATATAAAAGTAACAACCCTGCTTTTACCCCCAAATCGTGATGCAGTCAATAAGTGAAAAGTCCACAGAGTTCTGCGTTTTAATACACTGTTTTACCAGGCACGAGCGAAGCTTGCAAGCGGGTGTTTAATAAAACGAGTGTCTAAGTCTTTAATAAAACGAGTTGCATACTATACTCAATCTACGACGAAGACAAAAAAATTTAAAGGCGATTTATTTGTTAAAATTTGACATCTTTCCTCTGTCCCAATTAATAATAAAGCAAACTTTAGCCCATGACTAAAACGCCATAACGTCACAGCTTATCAATGGTGGAGTATACTTTTTCTACGACAAATACTTATTATTATCTTAAAATGATTTAAATCAAAAATTTGTATAGAGCGCCATCTATGAAACAATAGGGGAATCTGTGTGTCCCCGACAAATCTCACATTTTTATATATTATAAACATAGATTATAAAGGTTATAAATCGAAATGTATTTCTTGAAAATTGGCAGTTTTTCACAGTGAAGGTAAAGAAAATGTTTTATGAGGATTTTACAGAGTCCGTGCCCGAATTTAAGTTATAGTTTACTGCCGGCGAAATTAAAAGGTCGGTACAATGTTCATATAAACTTTTCAAATATCAAAACTATTTAATATTTTTGTATTTTTGTATTGAGATAATAAAATAATTTTATTATTATTTTACAAGAAAGGCACTTTATTTTAACGATTGTTTGACATTTGACAACTGTCAACTAACTTCAGCCCGTGACTAAAGCGCCATAAAGCCACAACTTGTCAATGTGAATTTAAAAGGTCACTTAGTGTCATGAAAACATGTACGATAAAGGGCATTTTAAAGGTGGGAGTAGATAAAATGTGTTATATGACTTATCTGGTGTCTTTGTCCCAACTACCACAATAAAAAAGACATTACCGTAGCTCGGGTATACACGCTTATCTATTTAATTTATATCTATCTAGGTAGTGTGTCATTATCTCTGGGAGCTCGACGTAAATTACTGTTGTGCATTAAACATAACGTACAATAAAATTGTAAGATATTGTCGCGGCAGCTTCTCTCGTTAAAATAAAACTCGCGCGTGGATGTGGATTTAATGTACTGCAACTGACGTTAAAATAAATTATTCGCGAATTTTTATTCCAGCATTACGCGGCGCTTAACTATGAAAAACACAGCTTTCAGTGCTAGTGTGTTAATAAGCGGAAATTCATCTCGAAAATGCATACAGAATAGGGTAAAAAAAGCGATATCATTTTTTTCGATGTTACTACATAAACAATTTTTTACTGATTTGGTTTTTGTCAAAAATAACTATTTTTGAAACTATTGCATATTATTGTTATCAGAAATTGCCGGCCTCATTTTCCAGATTTTTAAAATAAAACTTTTTTTTATAATATATATAATTTATGTAAATTTCACAACAAATTAATTGTTAATTCCATAAATTTTTTTCATTGTAACAAATTGTTACTAACAATGGTCAGTTTTTTTAAAATAATTGCAAGGCATTAAAACAAATGATTTATTATAACAAATATTTAACAAAAACATTTTAAGTTCGACAAAGATTTAATATAAACATAAAGTATTTCTTATTGCCATGACAATATGATAACAACTATTACTTTTTTGGATGAACATTTTTTTTATAAAAGCTCAACATTGCTGCGTCATTATAGTAAATGAGAATTTTAATAACAGTAAAAAAAGTTTATTTTGCAAATAAAAATAATCTCATTACTTTGACAAATCGTAGGTTTTTGTCCCAAATTAGACACTGAACATTTAATAAAAAAGGTACCTTAGGTGGTACATTTTTTTATAGCCATTACAATTTTAAATTTAAGTTAAATAATATTATTTTATTAATCGCTTCTAATGCACAAAATCCTCTGGCGTAAAAACTTTTGTGTAAATAACAATTTAAATTTAATTAAAAACTTTTACGCCGCAATAATGAACTATGGCCCTCTCCCTCTCTTAATTTAGTGTTTTTTTAAACTTATTCGGTAGTTTTTTAATTGAAATAAATAGAACTTTATCTCTACTTTTGGTTAATGAAATTTTGCAGAAAAATTGTTTCGTAGTAGTTTTTTAATTGCAGGATATAATAATATAAAGGTAATATTTTTCTTAAATTAAAATTTTGCAGGACTATGTTTTAGCAGCAGGAAAGTACCAGCAGGAGTATTTCAGGGGATGGCCCACGAAAAGTGAATATAATCGGCAGTTTGGCAGTCGTTGCACGTATTTCAGGATGACGTAGGCAAATTCCTGATATCCTCCATGCAGGATTCAAATTCCTGCTACACGAGAACGTATCTTCAAGAAATTCAGCGTAATCTCATTCAGAAAAACACGTTATAGAGCGTAAGATATTATCTGGGTTTTAAAGTAATATATCATACTTAGGTATAATTTTGGAGAAAATAGAGTAAAACTATTTTTTATTCTTTATCTAATATTTTATCTAAGTATTTTGCTGTCATTTGTGTTCAAAAAGGTTTAAAGTTTTACCCTACATAGATCATTTTATTTAGAAGTTAACTTCTAAATTTAGAAATTCTTATGAATGGGATACAAATTTGAGATTATAATTCAGAATTAAGTATTTTACTGATATTTTGTATTAGTGGATGCTACTTATCAACAAAGCCTTATATAAAGTTGAAATATATATAGTAACAAAATAAATACTCGCCACAGTACTGAAATTTTGACTGGAACTATACGTGCATTCACCACAACTTCGCCGCTTGCATTGTTTTCAAGATGACTGTCGTGCAAAGGGCGGGCTCTGTAGGTAATTTTTTACCAACACTTGAGTTAAAACGAGGACGTTTAAACTTTAATATTTCCCAGGAATTTTGAAATTTAACATTGGACACAGAACTGACGGGTAAAAATGAGTACAAAGATTATCAATTTTTTAAAAATTGCTACTGTTCGAATCTATGATAAAATATGAAAAATACATTATTTAATGTTTTATAGTTTGTAGTGAAATTGAAAAATTTAAGATAAATTGAATATATTTTAAAATAAAATCACTCAAATATTTGATTCAGGAGTTGTGACACGCCAAGGTACTTGTGTTTTGAATATTTATTATGTTTTTCTACAAATGTGCTTTTGAAAAAAAAAACATTAAAATTGGGTGGAAAAGTTAAAAAAAAACCTGGATCTTTTTTTTTAAATACTAAAAATACTAAATCAGCCCAAATAAAAAAATAACTGTTCTTAAAGAAGGATTTGCGAATTTTTAAAATAAAGAGTGTAAACAAATGAAATTGCTAAAAAACATTTATAAACAAATGAAATGTAAATTGCTGGAAATCCATTACATTTATCATAAGCCCATTTAATTTAAATTTTAAATTATTTAAATAAAATGTAATAATAATTGAAATTGTAATACTGCCATTGCTTTTCGTTAAACTTAAAAATAATTAAATTAATTTATTTAGATGTAGAAATCGATATCAATTTAGCATCCTTTATAGGAACATTAAACTTTATATTTTAAACGTAAATTTTATATTCACGACTTAAGTAGGCAAATCAAACTGCCATTTATTTTTAACGAATTCGTTTTTGATATAAAATAAACTCATAATAGATTAGCCAAAATAAGCGCGTAATTCGATTCGGGAAAGTCCTTGGGCCAGACACTGGCTCCGTATCAAAATAATGGCTTTAAAGGCGCCCCTATTCATAATTAACCAGATAATGCCGTAATCCGTCCAAATTAAGAGGTTACGCAAATGAATTAAAGCCGACCGCCGTACAAGATTAAACAGTTTCAAGAAACCCTGTGAATATTCAAAAATTCAAATTTATAAATTATCCCGTTGGATTTTATTAACATATTTCGGAACGCGCCGCTATAGTTAGGCAATTTCCAAACACGCTCGATCAGCTGTTATTTTTATCTGTCAAATGTAGAAAATCTGTACGATGTGTGTCGGGTAAAATTCGCAAATTTAGGTGGTTTTTGGACAGAGATGAGGCACAAAGTAAGTAAAATCGTTAAAATTAAGTTAATTCTACAAAATAATAAAAAAATAACCATCAAGAATTAATTATTTCATACAACAAATTGCATTTTTAAAATATAACCTCCAAAGTCAATAATTATACTAAAATCGCTATAAATATCATTACTTTAACTTAAAAATACCTTATAAAGGATAAAATAGCATCACATCTTACTATTTTTTATAAATCTACAGGGTTTCCTGTAATTCTAAGCTCAAAAAAACATTTTTTCCAAAACATACATAACCTTGTTAATTATAAACAAATATTTTTTTAGGATGGCAGTAAATCGACAACATTACAACTTCCTCTGCCAGCATTATTCTAAATCTATCTTGGAATCCAAGTTAATGCTAGATGAGGACATGGAAGTTATACAGTGCGATTATTACAATGAAAATTCATCCGATTACTCTTACAGACCCTCTTTATTCTTCACTGTTGGCACTACCCTCTCCCTGGGTTTCACCATACTCAGCAAAAGAATAGGTTTCAACGTTTTATTGGTGCCCTCAATTTTATTTGCCACTTTTACTTTGGTTTACGAAGTAAGCGAGATTTTGAGAAATAAACGACAGAGGAGTAACATCAATAATTTGATAGACGCGTTAAAAAATATACGTTATTTGAACAACAATGTGGCACATTTTGTTAAGTTGAGGCACGAGATCAAAGAGAATGGTCCCTGTAAGTTTTTTGAAGCAATTACTCCGCAAGTGCACAGTTTGGTTTGTTTTGTAAATAAAAATGAAACTGAAGTTTTACACAAAATCAAGCATTTTTTGCTGCAACTATCGAAGTTGGAGGAGAGTTTGGAGGACGACGTGAGCATTATACACGAAGTTATTTTAGATAACGATATTGGCTGTGAGATGGAGTCAATTGTTTTGATGGAAAGTTTGCAGAGATTGCAAGCCATCTACGTGTTGTTTATCTCGAAACTGCTGAGTTATATTTGCATTGTTTTGAATAGGCCTGTGCAAGAGTATGAATTTAAGAAGCTGGTTTTTAACTACATAGTGCCAGAATTGTTGTGTGACATAGAAACGTGCCATAATTCTATTAAAAGTAAGTTTGAGCTGGTAAAATATTCCAAGGAGAGGGTGAGAAAGAACTATAAAGACATGAATAAATTAACGAACCATCTCGCCAAATCCATGAGCAATAGGATGCAGCAAACTTTGGTTTACTCCACCTCGAATCTTTCGATCATTTTGGAAAAATCCGAAACGCTGTTAAACTCCATGGAAGGGCGCACCGATGAAGACGATTTAAGCGATATAGCGCCCTCTATTGAGGACTTAAAGAAACACACTTACTCCACATACGAAACCCTCGACATACTGTGCAAGTTTTTCGACGTCTACAACAGCAAAAGAACGCGAAAACACGATCTTGAAAGTCCGATAAATTTGGTGAAGAAAGTCGAGAACAGCATAAATTTAACCACAATTAAATACGACGATATCATCCAGCCAAACGAGGAAGAATACGAATTAGAAATGAAAAATGAAGAACAAACTGTTGACAACTTCACAGGTGAATATCATGATGATAACGGAAAATGTATGGGGTTAATGATACAGGAGATGAAGCAGGCTCTGAAAAAACACCAAAGATTCATAGACGCCAAAAAGCGAAGGGGCAGCGTTGATGAGCAACCAAAACTGAAGCCCATAAAGGAAAGTGAAGAACCCATCCCCAAATTCGACTTAAACGAAAAGGTGGAGAAAATTTTTGACGCCAAACACAGCAAAATACCTGAACCGCCACCTTTTCCTATACCAAGTTTTATAGACATTGAAGAAGGGGGCAAGATGACAAGTATGTTGGATAGTATTAAATTATTGTCTAATCAGATTGATATTAAGGAGGATTATTTTGGGGATGACAGCATGGAGAGTTCCGACAGTGAATACTAATTTATTAATAAAAAAATAAAAAACGTTAATTTAAGGTTTTATTGAGTTTAATTTCAATAATCTGACTGTGAGTCAAAAGTTTCAGTGTCAGATATTTCAGAATCCGATATTTCCAAATCTGTATTTTCTGTTACCTTATCAGCTTTGGCTTGTAAACACGTTTTTTCCCCCTTATCATCAGGCTTGTCCATGTTCTTAACATCCTTTAAATCAAACTTGACACCATATTTTCTCAAAGTTTCTTTATATTTACTCTGATTTTCCAACTCCTTAAAATAAGTATCGTAATATTGTAAAGATTGCTTTAATTGATTAATCATGATATAAAAATCTTTATTTTCCAAGCTTTCTTGTCGATTATTATTCATAATTGAATGTTACGTAAAAAAAATATTTGACAAATAATAATTGTCAAAAACATGTCTTACTTTTGCATTAATATCGTTTTCAAAGTTGAATAATTGTTGCCTTATTCTCGCAATACATGTTTCTATTGGCTCATTACTTAAATCATCATCATGTAAAGTCATGTTAAATATTTCCTTTAAATCTTTTTTATTTTCCATTTTAAAAATATTGTAAGTATAATCGTGTCAATAAATATGACAAATTAAATGTCAAACTACCAACTTATATAAACTTTTTTTACTGTTAATAAAATTCTCATTTACTATAATGAAGCAGCAATGTTGAGCTTTTATAAAAAAATGTTCATCAAACAAAGTAATAGTTGTTATCATATTGCCATGGCAATAAGAAATACTTTATGTTTATATTAAATCTTTGTCGAACTTAAAATGTTTTTGTTAAATCTATAGTTGTGTGTGAATTGCGCTTACATATAGTAATGCGCATTGTTATAGTAAAATTTGTTCATTTTACTATGGCATATTTGTCTTTTTTAAATTACTATCGTTGTAATTAAAATTAATTTTAAATCTTTGTTAATTTATTGCTATAAAGAGACTTTTTTAATATTTACTATTGTTTTGCAATGGTAACAAAATTTTTGTTATTTCCCTTAAAAAGAGGGGGAAAGGGCCAGCGCTCTCCTTGGTGAACATAACTTTATAATCCACAGTCTGTGATATAATCTTATTGGTTTCACTTGTGCGAGTGAAGTGTGGTAAAATCTAGCAAGATAAAAATATCAAAAAGATCACTAAGAAAATTAAAATTTCGACGTTTTCTAAAAGAAATATTTAAGGTCTATTCTATAAACGAAGCAAACTGGTTTTTTAAAAAGTAAGTTCATATTTTTTTATTTTGTACATCATATAATATGAGTTAATTTTTTTGTTATAATAAATAATTTGTTTTAATGCCTTGCAATTATTTAAAAAAAACTACCCAACACCCAACAGTAGGTTGAAAATGTGACCATTGTTACAATGAAAATGGTTTATTGAATTAACAATTAATTTGTTGTTAAATTTGCATAAATTTTATTATTATTATAAAAAAAGTTTTATTTTAAACGAAATGGGATTTGTAAAATTTATAAAATTTTTATAAATAATACCATTATAGGGTTTCATTAATATTATTATTAAGACAAACTACTTTTTTTGTTATATTTATCTGAGTGTATAAATAGGTCGGAACATTAGTAATCATATATCCAATCCAATCGCATCCTGCCTAATCAAATCTAGGTAGGTACCGTTACTATGGTAGCGAGCCTTTATGATTTTATGGAGCCCAAAATGACAACAATATTTAAAATCTTTGTTTGCGATTACAGATGTTTTTGTGGGCTTGTAAAAGGATATTGTTTGTTAGTGGAAACAAAAAGAACGTATTGGGATCGAAGAAATGAACCCTGCAGGCAAAACGCGAAAAATTCGCTGCAAAAAGGAAGGAAGTGGAGCGGCAATTTGTTAGCACAGTGACCCAAATGCGGGAAAAACTCGTAAAAGTTTTATTTTAAAGCGATAAGGTCGGTTTAATTTAAACTTACCGCTTAAGCGCAATCAGTCATTTTTAGATTGAGTTTGTACATACCTGCAACAAATAAAAAATCGTTTAATATTTTCATTAAAATTTTTCATCCTGATTTTTATTGACACCATCAAATAGTAAATATAAAAAAATAAAATTGAGGTTTATTTGATAGTTTTTGTAAAAAATAATTAAAAATCAACATGTTTTGACCACAATCCACACAACAAGGTCTGTTCTATTTCATGCTAAAAATACTAAAAATTACTGCACAGAGTTTAACAGCGGCCATTTTTGTTGTTTACAATTCTTGTGCTTTGGGTTTGTACTGTTTAATAATTGTTTTAAACGTTGGATTTCTTACAGAGGCACTTGTAAGCCTCAAATAAGGCCTTTAAGTGCTAAGGACTCCATTTTACTCCTCTTTTATAATAAATATACCTTATTCTATCAGGGCTGTCAAATGACAATTTGAAGGTTAATTAGTGGGTTATAATTTAACCTTAAAATTGACATTTGACAGTTTTATGACAGCCGTGATAGAATAAAGTTTATTTTTTACAATAGAGGGGTAAAATGGTTGTTCTTAGCACTTTAAGGACTCTTTTAAGGCTTACAATGAGAAATACAACGTTTAAAACGATTAAAATCTGTATAAACAGAGCACAAACCCAAAGTACAAAAATTGTAAACAACAAAAATGGCCGCCGTTAAACTGTGCAGTGTTGCAGTGATTTTTTGTATTTTTAGTACGTTAGTACTATGTTGCAAGATGTAAAATATTTACTCTCTTCAGGGAAATTTGATATGCAACTAATTATAAATTAAAATAATTACAAAACATTAACATAAAAAATCGTACAATGTTGTACGATTTCGTATTTGGCTTTATCCGAATGTAGGGGACGGTTAAAGGGGAACTGCAGTCGCACAGCCGGTTCAATATCGGTCCAGATATTTTTGGCGAGCGGCCAAAACTAGTGTGCTGTGCCGCCTCCCCACTAGCACAGACATCATTGTCGTAGACGCAAGGAAGCAAAAACGATTTTTCCATTATTTCCAAGTTATGTTATTACCACGATTAGTATCCTTGTGTCTACGAATGGGATCCTTGTTTTAATGTTTCGTATTGTTTAGCTAAATCTGTTTTGTCTTTATTTTAATAATACCTACGCACAAAACTTTTCGTCAATGACTACTAGCACACTTTATTCTAAGAATGTCTTTTAAACCTTCCAGTGAGAATATTCTTAGGATCATGCTACATTTCTTCTAAAGAACATGCTTAAAAGACATATAGCATGATTCTAAGAATATTCTTACTGGCCTATAGGCAGGTTCTTAGAAGGTGCAAAGTTTTAGTGGTAAAAATTAGTCTACTCTAAACATATGCTTAGAATGTTAAGAAAGTAATTGCTATAGAAAGTTCATTTAGGAATATTCCTGTTAAGCATATTTAGTTCAGTAAATAAAGTTCCATAAACTACGTATAAAGGTATAAACCTATACTTAAGTACCTAATTAGTAAGTAAAAAACACAATCCAAAATATTTTTTTATAGTTATTTGTCAAATTAAAACAATATTCGATAACAAAAATACTTTTACTACTTATAGGTATTTTATTTTATGTTAAAAATAAATATTTATTAATTTGTATACCGATTTTTTATTTCTGAATTAACATTTTTATGTATAATAATCCTAACTTCTTCAACTTTAATCTAATCTGACTTATCCCACAAAATTTTCCAATTTTACTTTTTATGAAATAATGTCATCAAACTTATGGTTTAGAGGTCAAATTATTTATTTAATATTTTTAAATAAATATATATGAATATGTTGCAAAATTTTTTAAGGGGACGACAAATACATTTCACTGTCATATTATGACAGTGGGGCGTATTTGTCGTCTCCTGAAGAATTTTACGAATGTAGAATACAACATATTGGAACGTGGGTATCTGACATATTTGGAAATATTCTCAAAAGCTTCCTAGAAGCTCCATAAGAAACCTTCTAAGAACATTCCAAAAACGTATTCTTAAAATGTTCTTAGGATGCTTTTTAGGAAGGTTTTAAGAAGCTTTTAAGAATCTAATTGCATCATTAAAAGGGTATCTATTGAATGTTTTAAAAGTCCCTAGGAACATTCTTAGCAATAAGGGAAGGTTCTAAGAATATTCCATTATTCCGGGTCATATCTTCTTAAAACGAAATTTTGCTTCATTTTTTTTTATCTGGACTGCGTGTTTTTTGCCTTCTGTGTTAAAATAAATAAAATAGTTATAGGAAAAAATCCATAAAATGTTATTAAAAACAGTTATTAAAAAGGCCTGAGCTGGATATATTGGTTTTTAGCCATTAACCTTTTTCGTTTAGAGCTTAATTGAGGGCAATGCCGATGCAGTAACCATCTTTGGAAGCCGGCCAATACGGCGAGTGAAAATTTGCATTTTCCCGTTAATTTCGTTAAAATTGCCGAAATTGAATTATTATGAAAATCGCTTCCGGTTCGAATTAATAAGTACAGCGACGTCCGCCACCTTTACGGAATACTTGATAACCATGCACAAAGAACAGAATTTTTTTATCGTTTTTTTCCTGTTTACTCAGATGAAATTAGGACAGGTTAAACTTTAAACATTTAATTTGTGTAAATAAATCCAATAGCACTTCCCTTTCTTAGGATATTTACAATTTGGGCCCATAACCTAAAATTTGAAAGAAATGCGCTAGATTCTGTCATTAAAGTTGCCAGATTTTGTTTGAATTTACCTTCATTACAACAATGACATAATCAACAGTTAATAAAAACGCCAAATTAACAATTTGCATTGTTGATTTTGTCATTTTTGTAATTTAGCTAAATTTAAACAGAATCTGGCAACTTTTTTGACAGAATCTAGAAACCCTGGTGTTACCAACCATAACATAATAAATTAAATTAGGCAACCAGATTAGCCTAAAGTTCCTAGTCGATCAGTGGCGTACTTTTTGGTAGGATAAAGGTTATTATAAATTATTTTTAGAATTTAGAAAAAAAGTACCATTAATTTTGTAAAACGTAACATTATTATTATATTATGTAACGCCATTTTAGTCACGAGCGAGCAAGTGTTTAATTAAATGAGTGTCTAAAATTGTGGTTCAATTTTGAGGATTGTTAGCAAAGCATCTGGATTGTATGAAAAGGTTTTCCGAATATTTACTTATTATTATTATTTTATATATTCTTTTAAATCGATAAGATTTATAGTTTCTAAACCGTTGAACAATATGGACCACCCGATACTTATTTATGTAAACTTAAATTGGAGATATGCCAAACAAGAGTTTAACAAAAAATATCGTTAAAAATAAAATTCTTTTAAAACGTCGACTTTATTATTGGTTTGATAAACAAACTCGACAAAGCAAAGTCGGTCGCGAGCAATTCGAAAAATAAACTTTGCGACAAACTTTACGAAGTTTTTCGGGTTTATTTTAATTTATGTTCGTTGTACGTGATTTTGTTATAAAACGAAGCGGGTATTTTAATCTGAACGGAATTTTTTGACGCGTGCTCGAAAATGTTTAACTGGATTAAACTTGAATTTGCTTGTCTGGTCTTGTGACATGTGTTTTAGTATAATATTGTTAAGAAGATTATTTATAAGTCAAATTA